CCTACTTTACTTTTAATGCAAGTCAATGGAACCAGACTTTTTTCCAAGTCATTTTCTGTCATTTCCTTTTGTCCACTCATCATGAAATTTACATGAGTTGTAAAGGGCAACAGGTATTTTCAAATATCGTCAAAAATGGAAATACGAGGTTTTTTTTTCCGACAACAGTGATACACACGACAGCACTGTCTGAACAAAAAAGTTATAAAGGTTACGGATCTACAATATCAGTCAATATATCTCACCAGACCAGTCACTGTCTCCGGTGTTGGCATGGCAACAACAAAGACAACTAAATGGAACTAAGGGCATCTTGTCTTTTCTGCATCAAGAACACAACAACTAATTCTCAAAAAAATTAAAATAAATAAAATATCCTGTCAAATTCGACGTGTTTCGACCAACGACAGTAAATCAGAGACCCCCGAAAGAGATGAAGGGGCGCATACATTTCGAGACACAGATCAGAATGTCAGTTTTTTCCTGAGGCTGCATTGGAATCATTAAGAAACCTCACATGCAGTTTTAAAGTGTCCATAACATCAAACCAAATTTCTCATTTTTTAATTAAACAGTTAGATGTAATACGCAAAAACACTACTATTGTTCCAAAAAGCACCATTCACTGCCCAGCCCACACAGTCAACGTAGGGAAACTAAACTCCAAAATCAGCCCAATTTGAACTGTTTTTGTGATGTCACCAAAACATTAACGTCTATATTCAAGTCTTCAGCCCACAGCCTTTCTAGCTCTACTCTCTCACTCTGAAGTTATTAGGAGTGTTTCAGTCCAGACTGCTTTCTGAATTTAAATAATGCCGTTTAAAGCAAAGACCACTGAAGAGAGAGTTATCGAGGGTGTTGCGCAGACAGCCAGCTGCCCCCTCCCCCTTTTTAAAACTGACCTTCTTCAGTCCGTCATCACACATCTACATCCAGTGGACATCATCCTCCTCTTACACCAGGCCGAGCCACTGTGCTCGAGTTTAAACACGCAGACAGACGGAAGATGTGGCTTCCTCATGGCTGGGCGACATTAGCTCAGTTACCTGGTGCTTTCGCTGGGGTCTTTTCTCCTCCTGAGAGCTTGGCTCCAATAGCAAAACCAAACAACAGATGCTTTAAAGCATTCTGGAGCACATTTGACAGTAAAAATAAAAAAATAAAAATTTACAAGGTGGCAGCTACTACTGTTTTTATCAATGCAAAACAGATCTACTTTTGCCCATTTTTAATTTTATTGATAACAGGCATGTTAACGATCAACCGAGTCACCATTAACCAACAAATACATAAACATTCCACAAATGTTTTTAAGTTCATTTCAGCTAAACAGGTCATATTTGAATAGATGGGGTTTTCAAATCAACTTCAGGGCTGTTTTGGAACTGCATGCATGAGAGAACTTGTTCTGGTGGCCTTACTTAGTGACGAACAGGCGACTCAGACTCTCAACCCCTCGACTCGACTTAATTTAACCAACAGCACCAGAGCTGCTGATATAGAGATAGAGAGATACAGCAGGGAATAACCTGTCCCACATGTCGTTTACGGCACTTTTGAACACGGGCCGCTGAGGTCGGCCACACTGTAAAAAATGAGAAGTCAGCTCAACTCAAAATGATACAGTAACTGATTTCATGGCTTTTCTTGAGTTGACTCAACTTGAGGACACAGGAGTTCACACAACTCAAACTTCTTAGTTGAGTCAAAAGTTCTCTTCATTTTTTTAGTTCTGCGTCTCAGTGAGGTAAATAAAACGAACCCGTTTTGATACTCGATTTCCCTACGAGCCAGGACTCTCTCACACAATCACTCATCACACATTTCACATCAAATCTCATCACACGGTCCTGCTAGACATTCTTCCTCTTGGGGACGCACTTATGGATGTCTATGGCATCACTGGGGCTCAAACTCACAACCTCCTGTTGGGGTGACGGCTTAGTCCACTGCACCACTCAGGAACACATGAAGTAACTCAGATCTTGTGTCTACAAATGTTTAATACACTGGAGAAAATATTTGTTGTAGAAATTTAAAGCATGGCATCGTCTCATGTGGTGCAACTGTCTATTGATTCATCCCAACATCAGGAGGTTGTGAGTTTGAATCCCAACAATACCACAGCTGTCCTTATCCGGAAGCCCAAGAGGAAAACATTCCAGATGGGACTGTGTGATAGAAGGAGCGCCAGCTAGAAAAAACATGTAAATTCAGTTTTTAGAAACAGTAGCTGGGAGAATTTTTGACTCAACTAAGAAGTTTGAAGCCATGTAATCAGTTTCTATATCATTTTAAGTTGAGCAGACTTCTCATTTTTCCTCTTTTTGTTTGTTTGTTTGTTGCAACATAAACATAATACTAGTCACAGGCCAACTTGTCAGCTACATTAGACTCGTAGCACCAGTGCAAAACTGAAGAAGCAAACTTCAGACACCAAACAAGTCTGAATTGCTAGAGGCAAGAATTGCATACATTTGGTTTTTGCCCAAACTACTCCTTTAAACTAGCAGCTCAGCTTTGCTGCTGGGAAACTGATGAAACCCGTTTTGCTGTTTTTCCAGGTCTAATATACCTGATTCCACTCGTCAGATGACAGTCAAGCCTTATACGAGCTGAACTAGTGGTGGACAAGAAGACAAAAATATTTTATCACAATAATGAAAACATATTTTCACCATACATGATGTGTATCAACTTTCTGACGCACAGAAATGCCACATTTAAAAAGTCTTATGATTTTTATTCAGCATTGTACATAATGTTAGCACTAAATCCAACTAAACAGGACTACAGTACTAGTTATGCTCTCTATCTAACATTACATGCAGTTTTCCACTGTTCTTTGGGTACGCGCAACATCCACGATATGTTCAGAACAGCATATAGTTTATCCCGATAATAAAATGCATCGCGATAACAATAAAATACCATCACTGTGTCCAGCTCTATGCTGAACCTGTTGTGTCAGAGGTGGGAAAACACAAAGGTGTTTACTGCATGGAGCTATTAGCAAGCAGGACTGACGTAACAGCCACAACGGACATTCATTGTGGCCAAAAGTATCCAGATATCCAGTGAATTCAGTTACTTTAAGGTGCACCTATAGCTGGCACAGGTGGTCAAGAGCACTCAGTATGTACAAGTATCTGCTAGAGGGGTATAAAGCCCCCCAGCACTGGGCTGTGTAGCAGTGGAACTGCATTATCTGGAATGATGGAGCTCCATCCAATACCTTTGGGATGAGCTGGAGTGAGGCAGAACTGACCATACAACATCAGTACCTGACCTCACTAACGCTCAATCAAATTCTCACAGCAATGTTCCACCATCTAGTGTAAAGCCTTCCCAGAAGAGCAAAGACTGTTACTGCAGCAAAGGAGGACAAACTCCCTATTAATACCATTCGTTTCAGAAGAAAGGCTGGATGAGCAGGTGTCTACAAACTTTTGGACATATTGTCTATTACTCACATCCTCTATATTCCACCGATTATTCAAAATTTCTGCATTATAAAATAATCCATAAATAAAGTCAGTCAGAGTGGTTCAGTGTGAAATGGTTCGCAGTAGAGAAATGTATGTGTGACTGTAACTAGGATTTCTCTTCAGTGGTGGTGAAAGAAACCAGGGGTCACGACGTCTACAACACACGAACAGCGATTTTACTTATGATCAAAAAACTATAGGTGCTTTCTCAGTTCTTATACATGATCTTAATAATGGTAAAATCTGGAAAAAAAAGATGTTTTGTTTTGGGCCTATTTCTTTACCCCCCCCCCGTCTTCTCAGCCTTAACGGTTTCTGAGAAGGTTTCAGGCCAAAACCTTCTCAAAAATATCATAAAACAATGTTTTGAGCATGAGGGAACATTTTCATAACCGCTTTGTGTAATATCTTTCTGTGATGAAGCTTTTAATGCCTCTAAACTCGTTAGATGTCTGGTTCCTATCACCACCACTGTGAACAATTCTGCAAGTTTCTCCAAAACGAACCACTTAACATCAAACTGATTGACTGTGTTTACATCTTAATGCCATAATCATCCATATGTTTCCCCTTTTTTGTCCAAAATTCCCCTTTAAATGCTGCGTTTGGCCTCGTCTAATACTAGTTCTCTACATACAAACGGTTGCATCTGCAAACGCCCTTTCACCATAAATAAAGCGAGAGGAAGTGAAAGCTCAGAGCCAAACCCGCTTAAGGGAAACTCGACCCGATTTTTCAAAATTTTTTACATAATTTGAAGGTTAAGATGCAAACAAAGTCACTCAGGGTGGTTTGGTGTGAAATGCTTAGTTTTGGAGAAACTTATCAAGTCAGAATTGGTCCCAGTGGTGGTGATAGGAACCAAACGTCTGAAAGTTCAATGCCTCTGACAGCTCCCTCACAGAAAGTGGTTATGAATACTCAGCCTGATGTCTGAGACGGCAGTTTTGTGATGAAGTTTTGGCCTAAAATACTTTACTTTTAAAACCATACTTTTAATCCATGTATTTGAATCTAATCACTGTGGAGGGATACATGAAGAGTGTTGTAAGGCAAAATAGTCCCCAAAGAAAACCTATTTTTTCAGATTTATGACTACTTTACCATCACCAACATTAAATATAAAGAAACTTAGTGGTTCTAGATAGTAAATAAAATGTCTATATGTGTGTTGCGGTCATGGTGACCCCTGGTTCTCATCACCACCACTGTAAAGAGTCTCTACAAATCAACCATTTCACACCAAACCACTGACTTATGCAGAAACTTTGAAAAACGGGTGGAATTCCCCTTTAAAACGGCTGCATCCGTCCAGCCAAGTTACCTAACCCGCCAAACACGAGCAGGTGCTTTTCAAACAAGCTGAAATAACACAAATAACCCGGTCAGTCCGCGTTTTACTGCTTACTGACCATCAGTAACTCTAAATACTCAAATACATGCTGCGCACCTACTAAAGTTACAGCAGCAGAGAGAAAGTTTGATGGGGAATAAGTCGCGTTTACTGACCTGCTTTTCTTTTCCTCTGTGTTGTAACAGCCCAGACTTCCTACACCGTTCCCAGCATTTCTCCTCCACCGTAAAAGATGCGAAGGTGCAGGATCTGGGGCGATTCTGTGAAGTTTTTCTGTCTTTCCTCCTTTGCTCCTTTTCCGCGCACACGGAAATAAGTTAGAGCGCAAAACAGCCCCGCTCACTTACTACACGCAGCTCCGTCTCTCGACAAAACTGACCATTTTAACGCCTCACAGCTGCTACAAAGACGTCGACGTGCACCAGAAGACCCCGAACCGTCCTGGGGAGCGATTTTGTTTGCGGTGGACGCGTCTAAACTGTGTAAAATGCGGGTGATTTCCAGCCCTCCGGACGCGAATTCAATTCATGTTCAGTGCTTCTGTCAGTCAGCGCGAATCAAGGGGGAACCAATCGAGCGCAGATCGCGTACTACAACAAACATGACGCTGATAGTAAAAGCGAAACAATTCATAGTGGAGGCAGAGCAGAGCGTCCGTGCACGACACGACACACAAACGACGACTTGGCGTCAAAATGGCACACATTAAACATGGCACGGCACAGTATTTTGCGCTTTCTCTTACCGGTCAGCGTCGTTTTATCCTTTTACCCTTTGTCCGTCCAAATTCAACTCCATACAACTCAGATGATCCGGTAAACGTCCACGAAATGCAACAGAGCGACGCTTACACGGCACTGTGGTCCAGCAGAGCTGACCCCTGAGCGCTGGCACCGTGGTTCGGTGCGTAAAACGTGGAAAAAATCGTCATTGCAAATTGTGTCGTTGGTTCAAACGCGTAAAAAAACGCCGTAAATGTCCAAAGCGTAAATCTAGCGGTGGGTGTCCGGCTGGGAGGTCGCTGGAGAGTCGCTCTTCTCGGGTTTTAAACGCCTGAATTAAATTACACGCATCAAAATTTCATCGTACCTGCTGCAAAGGTAAAACTGCACTGACGGAGGCGCTTCGGAAAGGCGAATTCTTGCGAAACGCCCCCACCTGCTGTTCACACATGGAACTGCACCGAGGAAAAAAAAACAAAAAAAACAAGAAATGCAGAAAACGATGACATAATTGTGACAAATGGGATGATAGGATTATAATCTGAGGTAATGTGGAAGACCAGACTGGTGAGATTAGCACAGATTGAGGCTATTGACTTCTATTTACTGCTAGTGGTGGTGCTTATGTTACAGAATAATGTGCTGTATTGTTACTGTGCTTTGTATTTTCACTGTAAAGACGCTTACAGTGGCTTAGAATAACAGACAGCATAAGGGGGATTAAATGATAGGGGAAAAGACTATAGGAGCACAAGTGAAATGTGCTGGTATGATATTGAGGAAGGAGAGAAAGTTATAAACAGGGCAGGTGAAAGGCCTGGGTGTCTAACTCAGGGCTGTGCCGCAGTGGACGTTTCATTTGACCTGCCAGACAGTTACCCTGACCTTTCCACCCAATGAGAGAACAAATGTATTTTTATTCTGCTTTATTCAATTCAAATTTTTCTCTGGAGTATTTTAGTAACAAACTATAGCATATTGGTGTAAAGCAAAGGTATAAAAACTCACCTACTTCCCTTCTTTATTTGTGTATTGGAATATATTTCATGCCTCATCTCTAGAAGTAGTAAGTAAAGACAAACTGACTTTAAATTCAGTTCGGTTTGATCCTCCTCTGTGCTCCACCAATGTGGTCAGAATACAAGCTGGACAAGACTTACAAGGAAGATTAAACAGAGAAAAGATTCAGGACATACGCCAGTGACTGAGATTAAAGCCTGTTCAGTACACTTTTCTGACTGTGTGGGATTGTATACAAGATGGTATAATTGGCATTATAAGATTATTATCTGTAATCAGTACCAAATCCATAATCAATATGATTGGACTCGTATCTGTAATCAATACAAAATATATAGTCAGTGTGATTGGACCATTATCTATTATCAATACAAAATCCATAATTTATATTATTAAATTATTATCTATAATCAATACCAAATACCATAATCAATTTGATTAGATCATTATCCATAATCAATATAAAATCAGTATAATTAGAACATTATCTACAATCAGTACCAAATCCATAGTCAGCGTGATTGGACCATTATCTATTATCAATACAAAATCCATAATTTGTATTATTAATCATTATCTATAATCAATACCAAATACCATAATCAATTTGATTAGATCATTATCCATAATCAATGTGAAATCAGTATAATTAGAACATTATCTACAATCAGTACCAAATCCATAATCAGTGTGAATGGACATTATATATAATCAATGCTAAATCTATAATCAGTATGATTAGGTCATTATTTACAATCAATGCAAGATCCATTAAAAGTCCATGATCTCCAATCAATATCAAATCCATAATCAGAATGATTTGGACTAGTATCTGTAATCAATAAAAATACATAGTCAGTATGATGGGACCCTTAGCTATAATCAATACAAAATCTATAATCTATATTATTAC